TGAGGCTTAATATTTATAAGCTTTGCTTAAAAGATTATGTAGTGTTGCGTTACATATTTCTGACAATATAAGTCGTCATATACAGTTTCGGTGTATTGTTTATTAACCTACTTTTATGCATGTCACAACCGTCCTGAGAGTTTGGATGGTTGTGACACTCGCCTTTTTTGTCTGATTTAACTTTATTAGACTGGTCAATTTAAACCTAAAATCAGGGTGAAGGTTACTATAATTCATAATGAAGACGAAGAAGAAAAAGAAGAAGATCAAGAAACTACATTACATTCTACATGTAATGACGAAATAACAATAAACTGATTGAATTTTTGGGAAAGCAGGTCCAGCGATCTTGCTGGCTGAGATCCAATGATAAAAGTAAAGAATATACCATTTGGCGCTCAAAAATTATCTTAGACATATGCGCATCGAATTATCAGCTATTTTATGGAGATTTTGATAATATTTACAAAAATATTGTTTACATTTCTATAGGTTCCGTACCAAGATTTATAATGTTTAACCGATAGAATAAACACGGCGTTTACGCGCTCAGATATTTTGTCTCTAAAACAGCAACGCAGCGCGATTGCCTTGAAAAAAAATTAAAATTTTATGAGAAAAAAATATAAAAGATATTTGATTTTTTAAAAAAGTTCAAATTTTGAATTACGGTACAGGAAGCAATTTGCCTTAAGGCATGATGCATCAATATACAAGTGCATATCTAAATTGATAAATTACATAAAAATTACGTGAAATATGGATTGTTTGGACAAAAATATATTCGGAGTAAAATAAACTTCCCATAATATAAACAAAATTTGCTCATAAAGAAGCAGATTTCGGAATTCCATGATTGGCGAAAGTGGAAGAAACAAGTAATCAGAAGCACAGCGTGCTCGGCGATACCCGGACTTACCAAGCAAGCCCATAGGTAATCTAATTACAATCATTTCAAAGCTCGCTGTGTTTGTTTTCGACGACTGGATTGTTTTAGATTTATTTTCGACAGTAAACAAATCAAATAAAATGTTACTCTTGCTGAGCGAAAAATACGATATTGTACAGTTTGAATGTCATTCGAAAATAATGCTAAAAATAAACTCGACAAGATGTTGATTGTTGCCATATAAAGGTCATATACAAAAAGAATTTCTGCTAGCCCGCATAATGATCATCTAGAACGATATTATAAAAACAAAAATAAAATAAATATAATAAAATGACACTGAAGCTTAAATTAAATTTTATTTTAGATTAATATAATATTATATTTCAACTTTAGTATGTATGACGTTTTTTTTCTTAATATGTTATTATTCATATTACATTTTATATTGAAACGACAATAAATGAATGACACGATGAATGTAAGTTTCGCATGCTTTTTGTTTATTTGTAAAATTTTGAAACACATATTTTTTATATATGAGCTGAATAGAGGGAATAGAGGGAATAGAGAGAAACAGTCCTTAATGTAGAAATATGACAAAGTGCACATATGTTAAAGAAAAAACTAAAAACTCCTATCTCGTACGATATTACACTTATATATCAACTGGAAATTATTTTATTAAATCAAAAAAAAAATAACTCAGTCATAAAATATATAATTGATGACATAAACTAGCTGTAAGTGGAATTCTGTCTTAAGGCAATTAAGGCATCGTGCCTTAAGGCAAATTGCTGGAACTTCCCGTACCAAAAATTATTACTTTTTTAAAAACGATTAACATTTTTGAAAAAATTTTACTTCGAAAAAAATAAGATTTTTGAGAAACTATGAATTAGACAAAAAATTACTTTTTTATGAAAAAAAAAATTTAAAAAAGAAAAAAAAATTATTTTTTTTTTTGAAAAAAATTGTTTTCTTTATTTTGACATATTTTGAAAGATCTGAACTTTTTTAAAAGCAATCGTACTGCTTTAACTGCATAGACACAAAATATAAAGCGCGTAAGCGCCGCGTCGCTATCTAACGGATAAACATTGGTACGGAACCCATAGGAATGTAAACAAAATTTATATTTATTGTTAAAATCTCTATAAAATATCTGATAATTTGATGTGCATATGTCTAATGATCATTTTTGACCGCCAAATGGCATTTTTTTTACTTTTTTCATTAGATCTCCGAAACCGCTAGACCTGCCCTTATGAAAATTTGATCAATACTTCATCTTGTCAATACAAGTAAAATGTTTTTTGAATTTCGGACGCTCCGTTCTTTTAAAAACTGAGGTACCGTTTTTGGCACTTTTTGCCCCATATCTTCGGAACTGCTAGACCTGCCTCCGCCAAAAACTAATCAGCACGTCTCCTTATCAATACAAATCGAATGTTTTTTGAATTATTCAAATTGCTTCATCCGTGTTCCCGAAATCGTCGACAAAAATTTGTATCCGCACACACACACATACACACACACACACATACATCCATTTTTTCTAAGGTATGCCAAAATATTCAGAAACCTTTGAAACGTAAAGATATATAAAAATTTTCATTTTCGATTTTTTTGCGATTACTATAACTTACCCTACGGGTACGTTAACAAAATATCTACAAAAATCTAAAAATATAAATGTTTTTACTATATTAAATTGCAACAAAAAACATTTTTTTCTTCGTGTTTCGAAACGTTTAAAAATACTTTTATCATTCTTTTGTCATTCACATTCAATGCAGTTTTAAACCGCAATAAAAAAAGCTCGCATAGATGAAATTCGATAATATTGGTATGAGAAAATATAAAAAGATCAATGCAAAAAATAAAAAATGCAAACGCGAAATTGGAAATGTTGAAAACTGTTCCATGAATGCTTGCTACACTCATATAACACATCACAGGCATAATCAATCTTGTTTTTTCTGCGTTGGAAAGCTGCGTTATGTCATATTTGTTCGTAACAAAGTTTAATATATTGTTCCAAAGCAAATTTAATGATTCATGAAATGGTTTGTGCTCGGAATAAACAATTTTGCCACGTAGCAAAATATTTTTTCAAACGTACCAATAATGCATAAATTCGTAATCATTTATTTATTTATAGATTCATGAATTTATATTCAAATATATTTTAATGGGTTTTATTAAATCTACAAATATTGACAAAATCATGAAAATATTCAAGTAATGATGTGGAAGAAGATGGCATTTAAATTTGAGCTAAATCGTTTTTTTTTTAATTTTGATTTATACATAAAACCATAAGGCTGAGAAGTTTTTGTACTTCTATTATTTACGTTCAAAGTGAATAATAAGATAGTTATAGTTTTAGTAAAATAATTACATATTTTTTAAGATTGTAAATTGATGCATATTTATGAACAAGTTCTTATTGAAAGATCTCTGCAGATCTTGTAAGGTTATTGGAGATCTCGTGAAGCAGTTGAAGATCTTTTTAAATGGATGTAGACTTAGGAAGATAAAGGCAAATTTTCTAAGATTGTAAGATTGCAGCTTTTCCAAGAAAGTAGTTTTACTGAAAGATTTCTGCAGATCTTGTCAAACATTTGAAGATCTTGTAAGAGATAGTTGTAGTTTTGTGAAAAAAATTTCTTATTTTCTAAGATTGAACAAATGGATGGAAATAGATTTTGTTAAAAAATATTTGCAGATCTGGCAAAACAGTTGAAGATCTTGTGAGGCAGTTGAAGATCTAGCGATAGTAGTAGACTTAGCAGGATGAAGGCAAATTTTGTAAAATTGTAAGATTGTTGTGAATTTTGTAAAGTCGTTGAAGGTCTTTTGGCATAGTTAAAGATCTTGTAAGATAGTTTCAGATTTAATAAAATAATTTCATATTTTGTAAGATTGCAATATTGCTGCGAATTTTGTAAGAAAGTAGTTTTTCTGAAAGATCTTTGTAATATTGATAAGACAGTTAAAAATTTGACAAAATCGACGGAGATTTTGTAATTTAGTTGGATATTTTATAATTTAGTTGATAATCTTGTAAGATCGTTAAAGATCTTGTAAGATTATTGAAGATTTTTTATAAAATCTTTTGCATAATTGTTGAAAATTTTATAAATTTTCTGCATATAGGTAGTATATAGTTGAAGATTCGGAAATAATTCTACAGATTTTGTAAAATTATATTTAACGATTAGGAAAATTTACACATGAGTGTAAATTATTATTACATACTATTATTCAAATCTATAAAATATCAGATAATTTTATGTGTATACGTATGTCTAATGATAATTTTTAACCACCAATTGTCATTTTTTTAAAATTTTTATAAGATCTCCAAAACCGCTGGACCTGCCTTCTGAAAAAAATAGTCAATTCTTCATTCCGACAATACAAGGAGCATGTATTTTCGATAATCCAAATCGGACGCTCTGTTCTCTAAAAAAAGCTCATTCGCGAAGTTGGACACTTTTCAATACGTATCTTCGAAACAGCTAAACCTGCCCCTGCCAAAAACTTATCAGCAGGTCTCCCCGTCAGCAGGTATCGAATGGTTTATGAATCATTCAAATCGAGTTAGCTGTGCGTCCTCGAAATCGCGGACGAAAATTTGTATCTGCACATACAAACATACATCCATATAAATACACGCACATATACATTATACCCTGGTATTGAATACGATCCCTAGATATGATTCCTAGATCTGGGATGCAGAAATGCATTACGCTATACAAAAAACACACACACACACATACAGCCATTTTTATCTAAGATGTGCCAAAATGTTTAGAAACCTTTAAAACGTAAAGATATGCAAACATTTTCAATTTCAATTTTCTTGCGATTACTTCAACTTACTCTTCGGGAAGTAAATAATTATAATTATATGAAGATTTTGAAAACTAAATTTTCAATTTATTAAATGCTTAGTGAAAGCATCACCTATGAAAACTAAACAATTTTCGAATCATCAATCATTGTTTTCCCAACATCTGACTATTATTTATCCGAAGACAAATAAAAATGATTTCAAACTCTATAAATCAGCTATTGTCTATTATGAAGCCATTCTTACCAATGAGTGTCCCCATCCTGGCCGCCGGTTGCGCTCCACCCGGTCCAGCCTTGGAGTCGCCGCCTTCCGCTGCGCTGGGAATCGTGTTGGAGTAATTCGCCAGCGACGATATAAGCGTAGAGATTCGAGGGCGATCCTCCATTTCTTCCTGGAAATCAAAATTAAAAATTATTTAAATGATTATACTTGTTAATTTGAGCTAACTATTTAGATTTATTTGTTTTAGATTTACTATTTAGATTTATATATTTATTTTAAATTTTGAGTTAACTATTTAGATGTAATATGTTATTAAAATAATGTAAATGCAACCGATTCTGTTTCAAACAATTTATATTGTCGCCTGATGTCAAACAATAGTAACATCGGTTTTGACTTGAATATATAGATAGCTATGATAATAAGTTTCCAAGTAAAAATAGCCCTTGTCTAGCATCTATAAAAGTTAACCACAGAAATTGTAATAAAAAATGCATCTCATAGAGATAAGGCAACTATTTGGTTTGCCATCTATGAAAACCGATGTGGTTTGTTCAGTCAAATCATCACAACAGCTTAGAGGTTCTAATCATTGTTCATATAATTTTAGTGTTATAGCACTCTTTTTTGTAAATCATTTATTTCTCAAACACTGTGGTCTGAAAGATCTCCTTTGTATAATTATATACTCATTTGTATTTATAAAACATTTTCTAGGTTATATTATTTTTTATTTATTTTATTTAAATTCAGAACCTAAATTTGGTATCGATAAAAGGGACCTTCTGTCCCTTATTGAATCGTAATTTTGTTATATTCCCAGTTACAATTTCCCAGAATTTATCGAAGAATAGATAGTAATATATTAAGTTAAGAAGGTCCACCACCGATGTGTCAAAAACCAGTAAAGTTAAGCATTGTTTACTAATAATATTTGAAAGTAGAGGAAAAAAGGTATAACCAGCTGTAACCTTGATTTTTATGACTTTGCTATCGAGGGATAAATGGTAATCTTTGGAAAATCCATAATAAAAGTATTTTCTTCCGTTGGTAGTTTTTTGGCATTCGTTAAAAATGTGATTAATTTATCAGTAACATAAATATAATGTAATTTTGTAAAATTCATTTAAAATTAAAATAAGACATTAAACCTGTTTGCCACCTGGCCGTTCAAAGTTACCCTGCCTAGAGGGTAAAAAGGTCTAGATAACAAATTTTTGAAGGACAGCAAATAAGCACATTTCTACAATGATGAAGTAGCTTGCAGTTTTACTGAACGTAGTCAGATATTTGTGTGTTTGTTGTGATATAATTAGTTTGGTCTTCATAATATAACTTATATTTGCTCAAAGTCAAAATGGACCTTTGTGCCTTGCCCTGCTCTACATATATACTTTTTATTAAATTTACTTTAATCATGGAATGTTACTTGAAACTTTTCAAAAAGCAGGTCAAAGAAGAAATACTTAGTTCATTTTTTATCTCTCCTCGCAGAAATTTGAAAATTTTGTATAAGTTCAGTAGTATTATTTACGATTATACATAAAATCCAGAATCCAAAATAAATCTGAAAAACTTGAAACGTAATCAATATTCGATTAAATGAAATTTTTAATGACTATATAAGTCGAAAGACCTAAAAGACTTGGATTGGATTATGCTATGTTTTCTATAGAAAGTGTATAAAACTTCCATTTTGGTTGTATTAACAAAATATAGACAAACTAATCATTTTTATTTATATTGAGGGGTTTATTGTTTTTATAATACCTCATTGTATATAGAATTCAAATAATATATCCTTACACACTTAAATTAAGGTAATAATTTTTTTGATTCTCTAGAAAAAAATTAAATATATTTTATATATTTAAACCCACTTGAAATTATGCATTCGGCATTGTTCTCATGCATAGCGGACTGTTCCATATAATCATACTAGTTAAATATATTATTTTCAGATATTTGATGGGTAGTTGTAATTTTATTAGCAAATAATTGTAAAAATGCAATTTAAATCTATACTTTTGGTAAAACCGAAATAATCCGGAAGAAAAGATTAAAATTCGGGACAAATATTGCTTTCATAAAAATGAAAGTGGAAATCCGGGACTGTCCCAGCCAAAAACATAAAACCTTAGATTATTTAATTTATTTTTGATATATTTTTGACGTTTTTTATTCGTTTAATTCATTAAGAATTAGATTACAAATTGTTTATTAGCATATATTGTTTTCTTGAACCTTACTTGATTTTGGAATTAGGTTGCCTTTTATTTTAATGTAACAAACAATAGAAATGCAATATATACAGAATACCGAATAAGAAAATTTATGAGAGTCATATAATTCTCAACAAATACAAGTGAGATACTTCAAAGAAAAAGTATTTATCATAATCCCACATAATTAGGTGACAATTGTAACTCACTATACTCCGGCTACATGAGAGTTTCAAAGATCTATATCGGGAACACAATAAAAAGATTTACTGCCCACAGGCAGACAGACAAAAGATCGACAATAACTGAATTACGTTTGAACTATATGGACACAGAATCTTAAAAATTAATTAAGACTCAATGTGTACTTGACAAGTGACCCTTGTTTGCGGACCGACTGAGATACAATTTTGCTCCGAGCGAAAAAGAAATTGTAAGCAATTGCGCTGCGTTCTTCTAGAAACCACTCGACTTCTATTTCAATGGATGAGACGTTCCTTTGTCATCCGAGAAAATGTACACTTTAGAAGAATAGAAGGAAGGCATCCACGGATAAAGTTCTTATTTGAAATCAGCCGTATTTGTATAGGTGCCGTCGAGGAAGTTTGAACAAACTTTAATTACAATTAGCAAAAGCTTGTTAAGGGGATAATAAAATAATGCCGGAATTATATATAATTATTTATATTCGAACTTAACCTTTTTGCAAGGATATATATAGGGGAGATAGGGGCTATCTGTAACAGGAGTAACCTGTTACCACAGGCGTTTTTTAACAGAATCATAAACGATATTAAAATATTTATTTGTCTCGAATAAACATTAAACCGTCATAATACACAGTCCGACGCAATAAACAAAACTGTGCAGGTCCGTCATTTTTGACAGGTAATATGAAATCGATTAATATGAATCTATCATAAAATTTCGGTTTGCATTATTATTATGGACTAACTTTAAATTTTATTTATCTTACTACGTATCAATAAATCAATCTTTGATAATGTTTAACAATATTTGTGATCGCTAAATTTTATAAATAATTAATTATCTTTATTAATGTAAAAAAATCATACCAGGAAAATTATCTACAGATTCAAGCGAAAAAGTGTTGTAGGAGTCACTATATCTTATTATTAGTATTATAACATTAATTGTAGTTTACGTTGCTTTATGATAATAAAAATATATATCGCAAACGTTAATTATTTGTATTTGTTTGTATTAATTATAGTTAGCGCTGATGTATGAAAATAGTTACCCAGAAGTCAATTTTCTTAAAAATGGGTAAAAAATTAATTAACTCAGTTATTTATTAGTTTTATTGTCCTTACTACTAGCTCCGGTAGATGCTATAATTAGCCCCAAACACGGGGTAAGTTGTAACACCACACTTTTTTAAACACCAAACGCGTTCTATAGAAATCGGCTATCGCGTTGTATAGAAACCACGTTATAAGAAACTCAGAATTAGTACAAATTACATCATTTGTATCGTGTTATATGAAAAGAAATAATTACAAAAGACAGGATAATTTATAGGGTATTTTTATTGAATCAAAGAGTACACATAAAATTATAAATTATTTTGATTGAATTCAAGAATCTGATGAAAAGGTAAAACTAAAAGAAAATATAAATTTTTGTTATTAAACTGAAAAGTTTTTTTTTATAAAAATTTAATAAAATAAGAAAACAAAACCGGAACTAAAAGATTGTTTCTCAACAAAAAAAAATTCTAGGTGAAATTTTATAGAACGACTAATGTAATGTGGAAAGGCTCTGACATTACAAAAACTGATGTCGAACAGAGCTATGATATAAACTAGTATAATTATGTAAGTATATTTTAAAAAATAAAAAGGTTCGTAATGAAGCTTATATCATAAACTTTTACAATATGAAGTTTCTTGAGTCATTCGTAAGTTACGTGGAAAAAACTTATGGACGTTACAATTTCACCACCGCGTAATATAAAACCTCATTCCCATATACCTATTTATAAAATTCATTAAAACTTCAAAATCTATGATTCAGTTACTTATATAGTTTTGCACCACATTTGTATTTCTAACGAGAAACTCCAACAGTGAAATAAGCTGAAATATTTCAGCAAACAAAGTAAATAGGCTTAAAAGTATCCCGCGCATAAGCCTATTACGTACAACAAGTTCGTAGAACAAAACCATTCGAAGAGTTAAAACGTTTTGAAAGCGAAGTTTATAAAAAATGAACAAATAACAGGATCAGTTCATATAAAAATGAAAATAATATTTTCAATGAGTTATATAAAAGTTTGAATGAATTGAAGTGCAAAGGCACAAAGGTAAAAGTTGAACCAATAAATGTAGATAGCCAGAGGCACTTTGTTGAAAAACATTTATATAATTGACAGGAACTTGCAATTGCATTAGCTTTCAGGCAACTTGGAAAAATAATTTAGATAAGTGTTATTATGTTAAATAGTTTAATCGCGGAATAGTGGTTAGCGCTAAGGTATTTCAATAGAAAGAAGTTTCAGATTCGATACCCGCCTCAGGCAGCCTTATGTCAATTAGTAGTGACATCGATTTTTCCTTGGAAATATAGAAATCAAAATATTTTTAAACGAATGCATATGCATGTTCTTTAAATATCCCTTTGCTGCTACCCAATTAGAAAGGCGTGGGATTTGCTTTTAGTACTAAAAATAAAAATAACTCTCTAATAGTAAGAAAAGCCTATTAATAGACTTTTCAAAAACGTTCCTTGTAATTAACTTATAGAACATGTAATAGTTCCGATTGCTGTGAAATTCAAACAAAAAAATGCTATTAACATTTATAAAAAAAAATTCACGGTTCTGAATTTAAATTTTAATGAATTCTGAACCTCATTAAGAATAAATGACTCATTTAATGTAGAAGTAGAGTTAATTATTAATGCTTATATATTTATATAGAGAAAATATAAATACAGTTTTATAAATTAATTTATAAATATATTGATATAGTGAACTGTTAGCTATTAGATATAGTTTTCGTTGTTGTAAAATATAAACATAAAGACGCTATTAACATTTATGAAAAAAATCACAGTTCTGAATTTTAATTTTAATGAATTATGAACTTCATTAAGAATAAATGACTTATTTAATGTAGAAGTAGAGTTAATTATTAATGCTTATTTATTTATATAAAAAAATATAAATACAGTTTAATAAACTTATAAATATATTAATATAGTGAACTAGTAGCAATATTATTTTTAATCAGAAAATTTACAAATATATATGTAATAATCCTTCAATTCTAAGCGAAATAAAATAATATTAACATAAATACTATGATGCAAAAAATTCTTGATATTTGCAGGATATTAGAAATTAATATGCTTGGAAAATAAGTACATTTCAATTTTACCTCAACAAAAATATCAGCGTTTTTAACATTTGTTCTCGACATCAATGTTATATATCGGCCTACTAAAGATTCAAAAGAATTCATATATCAATTAAAAAAAGCACGAAACAATATATGAATGTTTCAAACTTTTAAAATATTATCAAATAGCGGATTTCATTTCTATAAATTTATTGAGAATAAATCTATATAACTATGTTTACTAAAATTCAACAAATTCTATCCTTGGAGTAAATCAACGATAAAATGAATACAACAATAGATGTCCGTTAAAAATCTTAATTGCTGTTTGCAGGTTCAATTTGTATCATTGTCTAAACCAAAATATTGTTTAAAAATGTCATCAACTTCTTATTAAAAACATTACTCGCGTATATTTAACAATAGATAGAAAAGTGATAGGTAAAATAATACAGAACTAAAATTGTATATTAAATGTGCAAAAATAAAAAAATAATTAAGAGTAAATAAAAAAATAAATTAATTGTAATAAAATCTTAATATATTTCAAACAAAGTACCAAATTTCCGTTTTCAAACTTCTATATTGGCATGCTTCACACGAAGTTTTTCTGAAATTTTAGTTACCCCTGATCATAAATGTTTAATTGCTAATGAATTTAACTTTAAACTTATGCAAGATTTAATAATATACTCTTGAAAACTATTAATCAATATTATATCGAAATCTATTCAATTCGGCATAAATATACCGTGCTTTTAAAGTTTATGGAATAATGGAGAATGTTGCTTCATACACCAGAATATCGTTACCTTAATCTTCGAAAACTGGTTTGTGATAAATTCTTGCTTTTTTTATCTTAGCAAATATATGAAATTTTCTTTTAAAAATATTTTATAACACTACGTGACAAGTTGAGACTCAAAGAGTTTTATACTAACTATAAATACTTAGAAAATGAAGCAAAAAACTTTCAAGCATAAAAAAGTTCCGACTTATATACAAAATGTTTACGAAGTCACGAACGCTAAAATAAAACTTTGTCGTCAGTACTAAGATTTTCACTTTAGACATTCTTGCAATAAAAACTATTATGATTTTGAAGTCAAACATTGATATTATAAAGTTGAAAACTTGTTTTTCCACATAGTTTTATTGAAAATGTGCTACGTGCTCTAGTTTTTTAATAAACTTCAAGTAATAAAATTTTTATAGTTGTTTACGTTAAAGCAATTATTTATTTATTAAATACAAAAATTATGGTAAATCAATAAACTTTAAACTAACAATAAAATCATGCATCCAATATAAACATATTTTATTCAAATTATAAATTTTCTAATCAATTTTTTATATGACAATTTATTTAGACAATCCTCTAATTTGCGTAAAGGCAAAATGCAGTGCAATTCTGGTTTAATTATATCTTGGAAATTAATTCTTCGAGTTTTTAGTGTATAAAGGAGCGATGCTTTTTGTATATCCCGACATTTATCAGAACATAGGTTTAATTTTTTTCAGTTTAATTAGAAGCAGTCAATTAAACAAAATGCACTGAAAAAAATCTTAGGAAAGTCTGGTACACATAAACCATGTTGATTAGTCATTAAAAAATATGATGTGATAGTCTGGTAATATACTAATGAATTAAAAACGGGCAAACATAAATAATAATACTCATTATATTATATATTCAACTTTTTTTTCAGTATATGTAAGTACTTTTGAAAATAATTTTTTCGAAAATTTTGTACAAAAAAAAACAATTTTGATCGAAACTGAAGAATGAAATATGAATAAAAATATAGAAATAACAAATTTATCATGATTCAAGCTATTATATTTTGTAAATACTTTTTTATAATATATGTCAAAAAGAAATTATTACACGAAATACAAGAGTATAAATTCTCATACTTACATATTTTGCTTTAAATAGTACTTAACATTTTTTTTTAAACTAATTAAAAATCATTATTTTTGATTGTAATAATTCTTTAATATTGTGTTTGCGGAATTGATGTATTAAATAGTTTCTGTTGTGGAATTGTTCTAGTTTGATTATAGGATTAAAAACGTAATTATGAAAGATTGTGTCAATTATCTAGTATTTTTGCTTAATAAAAATTGCATTTATGCAATTATTCAAAAGTATTTTTCATGTAAGATAATATTTAAAAATATTTGTTCATTATTACATTAACAGCTATCAGAACTTAACGGGATCTATCAGCTTTTGATTAATTATCAATGACTGCTTTATAGATGGCAACCCATCAGTTGTCTTTTCTCTGTTTACTAAATTTAATATTAGAAATTGCAATAGGGGATATACGGACAAACTGATATATATAAACAAAACGATACAGTGGCCTTGTTTAAAAATTGGCTAGTTTTATTAACGTTTACGCGATTGTACAACATGAAGAAAGCCACAATAACAATCATGTCAGATGTTGAGCGTCATTGTCACAGTAATCAGTTCAAACGTATTTTCGCGCTTCGAGAAGTTTATTTTCAGGGTGTATTTTTCATGTTATTTGGGGACCTATTTGATAATTTTCGTAATTATCTAAACTAAAATGAATTCGTATTATGCCAGTCTTAGTAATTTCGATCAATTGTGGAGTTTTGATTAATTATTAATTTTTGTTCAGTTGCAGACAAAATGACACACTTATTCTATGGACCAAATGACACAGTACTATTTCGCAAGCATTACAGGAACAAGAAAAAAATAAATAAAACCTGTCTCTGGCTAACTTCTACTCCAAGTATGCAAGAAATAATTGCTTATAAGAAGAAATCAAAAGACCACCAGTGAAAAGGAGAAACTTGCATTCGATGAAAAACTCCTTTTTTCCTTTCTGAACTCGGCAAAGATTGGTTACGATGTATGACTTGTACACTTTGGGGTTATGCTTCATATGTTAATATCCCAAAAAGGGCGAAACGATTTATTTGTAAACTGCTTTCTTAAAAATTAGCATCTCAGTATTTCCTTACCCTATATGTCCGTATCATATGGACAAAATAGTTTTTATAATAGGTTCCTATTCCTATTCCTATATATGTTACTGGTAGTCATAGTCAAGGAATCCGAGATGAATAAAAACGATTGACACTGATAATTATATCATTGAATAAATCATTTTGTCTGTATTTCCCCTATTAATTATTTTTAATTGAGTGGAGACATGTCTGGTAAAGCTATTATCAATTCTAAACATACTGCTATCTTTATTTTTAAGTCAAAACTGACGTCACTACTGTTAAACATTAGGCTGACCGAAATGGGTATCAAACCAGGAACTTCTAAATGGAAACCAATAGCTCTAACCATTAAGCCATAAAAAGCCCAATTTTTCCTGGCGTTTATATTAATCTGATGATAATTCAGAGTCAATGTTCAAAGCAAATGTGTGCTACTTAATTATCAAAGGGTCACTAAACGACTCGCGATTCATAGGTTGCTGATCCCTGAATTATGTCCCAAAGCTTGTACGATACGCCCCGCACAATGTTTCATTAGCGCTTGATACTTTTAGATCGATGGGCAATCATTGAAACGTACCTGATATAAATATAGATTCGTCTCATATCCAGACTTGTCACGATCAGTAACGAATGGCTGCTCCTCGTTTCCATCTCCTGAAACAAAACAATTTTCATGTCAATTAGAAAGCTCGTTAGTTATATCTGAATCTCGTTTATTAATAGAGACGAAATACAACATATAATATATCGCAGGTATAAAAATGATTAATCGTTTTATAATAGTTCTATTCTTATAAAATTAATTATGATGTCAAAAGCAAGTGTCATAAATATTTGCAAAGGAGCAAGAGGCTATCTGTAACAGTGATAACTAGTAATAGGCGTTTTTCAGAAGAATCTTTTTTTATTTACATTTATGAATTATAATCTGTCGTTATAAACAACATTCAGTAATTTTAATAGTTTATTAAATAAGGAAAGAAGGTCGAATGGTCACCCGGTGATCCGATTCGAGGTTGTATATGTTTAACTTATAGATCTAGTACTGATGTGAAAAAATTTAAATAAAACCTGCTAGTAAATGTACATATTATAGGAATACTAAAGAATATCAAAAAGGGGCTGTTTTTATCTGAGCTGTTCAATGCCATGGTTTTTTATTAAGTTTTTGGCCATGATGTTTGGATGGTCCTGTCAAAAAGATCTTAAATGATATATTTTTTTGTCTCGATTGGACATGAAAATCGTCCTACATAGTATTGTCATATATACTGTCTCACTAGCCGACGTAATAAACAGAACTGTGCAGGTCAGTCATTTTTGGCGGGTAATATAAAATTCATATATCATAAAATTTCAGATTGCGTTATTACTAAATTTTATATATCTTATTTTGTTTTAAAATTAAAAATCTTTCATAATGTCTAAAATTTTTGTGATTTTTAAATTGCTTAAATGATTGTCTTGATTATTGAAAAAAACACATCTGGGATCAGTTGAAACAAAGCCTTGGAGCTAGTAGTAACATACAAGAATTATATACAGATTCAAGTGAAAAAGATTAAATGATATGAATAGTCTATAAGATGTGGGCATTTTAAGGATTCTTAATATGCATATTTTCGAATTTCTTTGTTTTCAGGAGCTTAAATGCTTCCAAATTGATAAAAAAAATTACTGAAAGCTAAAGCTCTTAAGCTTCTAATATTAACTTTATGATAGTCAGCACTTAAATCAAAGTTTCTTATGGAAATAACATGAGAAAATTTCATTTGTTTTTTAGAATTTCTAGAACTTTTAGAGAATTTGGAAGCATTTGAGACCCTCGAAGCAAAGAAATTCGAAAATATCAATATTAAGAATCCTTAATATGGACCCTAGTGAGCATATGTAAATTGTGTTACAGAAGATACTGTATCTTTTATTTGTATAATAATAATAATTGTACTTTATGTTGATTTATGATAAACATTTATTTTACATTTTACAGAAGACAACATCGTTGATGTATGAAAAGAATTCCTTAGAAGCAAGTCAGTTTTCTTAAAAATGAGTAAAGGATAAGTTATCATAGCCATTATTGTCGTTTTTCCCGGTAATGTAGCAATTTTTTTAATGTAGCAACACCGCACTTTTTCTAGAAATTGATTAATTTAGAAATAATGAACAATAGTTATGAAATTATTTTTACTTGATTCGATAAAGAAATAGTTACAGCAACTAGCCATATTTTTTTCGCAGAATATCAAGATGTATTAATTAAAAAAAACTGTTACAACAACAAATTTCCCTAGTTAAATTATTATATATTTTCAAAATTTCGAAAGACCATCACAATATTTTTGTCTCAAATTAATTTCTTTAGATCAACTATTCTATTACCTGCAAATTTGTATTTTTTGCATATTATTATTAATAATATTCATAATATTAACAGCAATTAGAGCTCAATAGTTGCACAATAATCTTGTTGTGATGACTTCTTAATAAAGAAGATTTATAGATGAAAACGCCAATGGTTGGCCTATCTCTTTTTGACGAATTTTTACTTTTTCACATGTCATATATTACCTTTTACGGTTTTTGCTACATTGCATTAATTGCAATAATAATTTTAAAGTAGAAATGAAAATGTGTAAATTTAGTACGTACATATTGTAAAAATGCTCATAAAATGTATGTTTTTTGCTATTGAATGCGTTCAAATTTTAATGACAGATAAAAATAATTTAATGAAATATATACCACTTGTAATAGTCCACAATAATTATATTCTCATTTATTATTTTTACAAATAATTATCTATTGCAAAATAGCTACATAGAAATTCAAATATATAAATCTCTATAGTGGTATTTTGGCTAATGAAACATTACTGAATGGTAATTTGTCAGTCAAATAATATTTATATTACTATTAATATTTATTTCAAACAAAGTTAGCGCTTATAAAATTTCACATACAATGACGTGTAAATGGGAGTAGTTTTACAATTCATAAAATATGTAATAAATATTGTTTGTTCTATAATTTGCAAGTTCAATTTTTTATTCTTTCATACGTAGTCAATACAATTTATTTAACTGAAACTGAAAAAAATGCTTTCTGAAATACTTGAATTAATGATAAGTAATTTAATTTAAACTTGTTTGTTCATTCGAGACTCTTGCCAAGACCGATTTTAAACTGTGTATAATTATAATGGCTTTTTGCAATTATAATCTGTTCCTACTAAGTTTAACAGCAAATATTTAAATAACTTCCTAAACGGATATTAAAATATTCATACCATTTTAAATAGTTTAACACATTTTTTTCACAAAAATGCCTCATTACATTCTGTATTTGGATATCACAGCAGTGAGAAATGCAAGAGAAATTTTAATTGCATAATAGAATTCACTGCAATTCCTGTACAAATAACAGTGGAAATGCCTCAATTTAGATAAAAATTGTTTTATAGTCCAAACAGAAAATCTATAATGTTTCTCTTTAGAAGTTTTCTATAATATTTCTTGGAATGAATAAATCTCTCAAATATAAGTCAATTTATAAATTCATATGAAACGATAAAATAATATTATTTATGCAATAAAATATAATAATTCAAAATATAAAAGCTTATTATATATATTATATATATATATATATATATATATATATATATCATAACTATAATGTTGATTTGATTTTTATAATTGAGCTTAACATAATATACAGATCCATCGACAATATATTTCAATCAACAATAATCAATCAAATAATAATCGTTAATTATTATACGTTCATTTCCATGTTAAAATTTTACCAACTCAATGCAGTTAATTGAACACGGTATACTCATAATTAGATAACACGCAAACTACAGCGATTAATATTTCACCATATACAATGGGAATATTTATCAAAATCATAATTTATGGGAGCTCATTTTATATGCAGTTAACGATTTTATTATTTAAATATAAAACATTTGAATTTTGGTGTGTTCAAATACTGCTTTCATGTCGAGATACACATACATGCATTCACATATATAAATATTCAATAATCAATATTGGGATACTTTACAATACTGATGTTGCTGCTTTATGATGCCATATTGTTTTCACAAACAATTTTTGGGATCATCACCGACAATATAGTTAGCGAAATGTAATGCTCAAATTTTGATAATACTAATTATAATAATAATAAATAATAGAATAATAATTTCAACAAGAAAGAAAAAAATTATCACTAATTATTTACCATTAGCAAAAATTATCTAGCAAACCACTAAATTATGCAAATTATATTTATTTAAAAACACGCGTGAAGAAAATTTAGTTTTATTCAATTTACAACTTGAAATTCAGATTTGAAAAATGTTATTATCTGTAGAAGTGAATAGTAAAATGAATTATTCCTATAAATCCCTGTCTGCATTGAATGAACTTGTAAATATGGGAATAATATAGATTAAATAATATGGACAAAGAGACATACTGGCTTTGTTAATAAATTGGCTAGTTTTAGAAACCTTTCCGCAACTGTATAACAAGAGAAAGACCTAATAATAAGCATGTCAGATGTTGAGCGTCATTGTCGCATATTTCAAACGTGTTTCGCGCCTTGAAAAGTTTATTTTGAGAGTATTCTCATATTTTTTGGGAATCTGATTATTGATGTTTGTAATTATTTAAATTAAAATCAAAACTTATGCAAGTACTAGTGATTTCAATCTATATTATTGCAATAATCAGGTATTTGATAAAATTTTGGTTAATTAATCATTTTTGTTCACTTTCGGAAAAATAACTTATACAATGGACAACATTACAAAATACTAATCGCAAGAATTATAGGGTCAACAAAATAATTCTCTCAAAGGAGGTTGGCTTTTAACTTCCACTTCAAGTATGCAAGAAAAAACTGATAAAAACAGTTCAAAAGATTCATTGGAAAAAGAAGAGACTTGCATTTGATGCAAAATACCTTTTTCCCTTCTGAGCCCGTCGAAGGGTGGTTACGATGTATAACTTGTACCCTTTCGGTTCCTGTGGTGATGTCCGAAAGAGGACCAAACGATTTACTTGTAAACTGCTTTCTTATAAACTGGCATTTTAGCATGTCCTTACCTTATATTCCATTTTCCTCTAATTATATTACATTACATTTCTTCTTACATAATATTTCTCTATTAATAAACCAAAGTTAAGTAGAAACTATTGAGACTATATAATATCATTAAATAAAAAAGTATAATTAATAAACAAAACACTGTCATTTTGTCCGTATTTACTCTATTACTATAAATATTATAGTAGAATAATTAGTAATTTAAAATTTATATAAAATAGTTATTTTATATACACTCTACAATCTACTTGATAAGAATTCATATTAGAATATTATTTTTCGCATTAAAGTGTCATATTTTTAACAATTCATCATTGCAAACTGACAAATACTAATTAGAGTATAGTATAGACTAATTCTATACAGTTTTTTGCCAGATCGAACTAATTTTCAGATCAAAAATACTAAACACTGCACATGAAATGTTTTGTAATTATCATGTAAAATATTTAAATATAATTATTATTTATATTAGTAAATTAGCAATAGCGTAAAAAGATGCATTTAAAAATTCCACTCACCGAACCATTTTT